AGGTTTACGTCCAAATGACTAAAGTATTCCCCAACTCTTTCGACGTTTATATGAATAGCCACCCAATGACACCGGCTGTTAGTCAGGGTCATTATATGATAAGTGCTGGTACCTGAGCATACATCGGCAATTGATTTGAAGAATATACGTTACTGTGGAGGCTGGGATGTATTCTACGAAGACTCATTTGCACTTCTAGTGTGTTCATACTTTAATACTACGCGTTTACTTCCCTACTTTTTTACGGACTACATTTCATAGTATCAATTCATATAAGTAATGAAGGCAAATAAAAACCATGTCATATTCGTTTATATTATATTTTATTGTTCTTAATATTATAATAATTACATAAGTGATTGCTTAACTACTATAATCCACACATACATTTCTGTTCTTATCTATTCCAAAAATATTTAAAAATGCAGCGATTAATAAGATTCCAAAGGGTATTAGAGTGCCCTTTGTATTTATTATCCACATTTTACTGATAGGTATGGATACTTGTTCAAACAAGCAGCCGAGTTAAGTATCGTAACTAGATAATGATATCCGTTACCAGTCTATATAACCCGATACTTGTAGAAAGATTTAGTATTGTGCTCTAAGTTCGACATAAGTGAAGTGGTTGAAAGTTTGAAATAATATACTACAATCGAAGTAAGTTATTATATTTAAACTATTTAAGGTTTGAATTCTTAATTGTGTGTATAAATTTGTTTGAATATTTATTCAATAGTATGTTTCAGGGAACATACAATCTGAAAGATGTTGAAAATTGTTTTAAACTTTATAATTACTATACTTCACTATCTGAAGAAGACGAGACGTCCCCATCTATTATCAAGCAGAAAAAACTTTAGATGATTTGTTCACAAGTACTTAAGTATTAACGCTTTCTTGATCTATAAAAATATAGTGTTACATTCCTTGGACTTAAAATCATTGATGAGTTAACCTGAATACATTGAACTGTATGTATAACTGTAACTGAATGAGTTAATGTGTGAATGCAAAAGGAAGAATCTATAAAATATGAAGAAATGAAGAAAAATAATCATCAAAATGCTTTCTATGACAGTGCAATGGTTGAGTTATGTGTTGACGTGGAAAAGCAATTGTAAGTATTTTTGTAATTACGTACTTAATCTTTATTAAATTGTATTTTATTTAATAAAATCAAAAAGAAATAATTGGCGCTTCAACCTTTTTAGGTCTGAGCCTCAGATTTCTGTTTCATGATCATTTGTCAATCTAATAGGCAAGTAATCAGCCTTCTGTACCTGACACACGCCGTCGAGTTTTTGGGTCTAAGACAAGCCGGTTTCCTCACGATGTTTTCCTTCACCATTCGAGCGAATGTCAAATGCGCACATAGAATTCTCCATTGGTGCTTAGCCGGGGATCGAACCTACGACCTCAGGGATGAGCACCACTGCTGATAATAACAAAAATGTTTTTTCTTAGGCAGGAACTACCTAACTGGACGAGGTCAAAAACGAAAAGCACAATAATATTCTCATATATATAAGATAAAATAAGATAAGAACCTATTTAAATCTGTAACATGTTCATTAACTTCTACACCGGAAGCATCTACTTCAAATAATAGAGGTAAACCATCAAACTCAGCCATATGTAGTGCATGTAATATGTGTGTATCCAAAAAGTATTTTACCAACCATCTAAGGGGTAACATACATAAAAATGATTTAGTTAAAATACAACATTCTCTTAAACAAAATGTGTCGATATATAAGAATGCTTTTGGAAACCTAATATTAACATATAGAGTTACTTCAGAACATAAGAATAATTCAGATTTTAAACATCCGATTTATTTCTCGCTTCTGTAAAAGAAACAATATTTAGTCTGATTAAAAATTCTACCGAGTTTCATACAATTTTAAAAATAAATTTTATTTTGTATATTGACTTCGTGCAGTTCTCCTGCACGAAGTACATAACCTAATGAAAATAATTCAGTGTAAACTCTATGTAACGACACTCAAGGGACTGTGCTTATTTTGACGTTACAAAGAGTTGTCGTTCATTGGAAAGAAGAAAAATCTGTATTAGATAAAGTTTATTTCAGACTAGTGTTAGTAAATTACATAAAAAACAATTCTTATTTGAACGCTATGCTAACGCTTTTGCAGTATCAGCAAATATATTGTATTTTTTTACTTATTTTATTCATTTTGCGATATTGAGGCATCTTCGTGATAAAGCACGCTTAATCAATCCCAATAATTTGTAAACAAAAACGGATTTTTCAAAACGTTCAGTACGTATGATGCCGACTGTGGTGTTTATTACTGGCTAGGACAATAGAGCGACAAACTTTTTTCCTTTTCTGTTCCGATTCTTGAACAAACAAATTATCTAAAGTTCTTTTAGGCTTGTGTCTTTTATGGATCGACCAACAGTTGAAGATAATATAAGTTTTTTCCTTTTCTGTTCCGATTCTTGAACAAACAAATTATCTAAAGTTCTTTTAGGCTTGTGTCTTTTATGGATCGACCAACAGTTGAAGATAATATAAGTTTTTTCCTTTTCTGTTCCGATTCTTGAACAAACAAATTATCTAAAGTTCTTTTAGGCTTGCTTCTTTTATGGATCGACCAACAGTTGAAGATATAACTTTTTTCCTTTTCTGTTCTGATTCTTGAACAAACAAATTATCTAAAGTTCTTTTAGGCTTGTGTCTTTTATGGATCGACCAACAGTTGAAGATATAACTGTTTTCCTTTTCTGTTCTTATTCTTGAACAAACAAATTATCTAAAGTTCTTTTAGGCTTGTGTCTTTTATGGATCGACCAACAGTTGAAGATAATATAAGTTTTTTCCTTTTCTGTTCCGATTCTTGAACAAACAAATTATCTAAAGTTCTTTTAGGCTTGTGTCTTTTATGGATCGACCAACAGTTGAAGATAATATAAGTTTTTTCCTTTTCTGTTCCGATTCTTGAACAAACAAATTATCTAAAGTTATTTTAGGCTTGCTTCTTTTATGGATCGATCAACAGTTGAAGATATAACCTTTTTCCTTTTCTGTTCTGATTCTTGAACAAACAAATTATCTAAAGTTCTTTTAGGCTTGTGTCTTTTATGGATCGACCAACAGTTGAAGATATAACTTTTTTCCTTTTCTGTTCTGATTTTTGAACAAACAAATCATCTAAAGTTCTTTTAGGTTTGCTTCTTTTATGGATCGACCAACAGTTGAAGATAATATAACTTTTTTCCTTTTCTGTTCTGATTCTTGAACAAAAAAAATATCTAAAGTTCTTTTAGGCTTGCTTCTTTTATGGATCGACCAACAGTTGAAGATAATATAACTTTTTTCCTTTTCTGTTCTGATTCTTGAACAAACAAATTATCTAAAGTTCTTTTAGGCTTGTGTCTTTTATGGATCGACCAACAGTTGAAGATATAACTTTTTTCCTTTTCTGTTCTGATTCTTGAACAAACAAATTATCTAAAGTTCTTTTAGGCTTGTGTCTTTTATGGATCGACCAACAGTTGAAGATATAAGTTTTTTCCTTTTCTGTTCCGATTCTTGAACAAACAAATTATCTAAAGTTCTTTTAGGCTTGCGTCTTTTATGGATCGACCAACAGTTGAAGATAATATAACTTTTTTCCTTTTCTGTTCTGATTATTGAACAAACAAATTATCTAAAGTTCTTTTAGGCTTGCTTCTTTTATGGATCGACCAACAGTTGAAGATATAACTTTTTTCCTTTTCTGTTCTGATTCTTGAACAAACAAATTATCTAAAGTTCTTTTAGGCTTGTGTCTTTTATGGATCGACCAACAGTTGAAGATAATATAAGTTTTATCCTTTTCTGTTCCGATTCTTGAACAAACATATTATCTAAAGTTCTTTTAGGCTTGCTTCTTTTATGGATCGACCAACAGTTGAAGATATAACTTTTTTCCTTTTCTGTTCTGATTCTTGAATAAACAAATTATCTAATGTTCTTTTAGGCTTGTGTCTTTTATGGATCGACCAACAGTTGAAGATAATATAAGTTTTTTCCTTTTCTGTTCCGATTCTTGAACAAACAAATTATCTAAAGTTCTTTAAGGCTTGCTTCTTTTATGGATCGACCAACAGTTGATGATATAACTGTTTTCCTTTTCTGTTCTGATTCTTGAACAAACAAATCATCTTAAGTTCTTTTATGCTTGATAATAGATGTAGACGACTCGTCTTCTTCAGATAATGAAGGTTATAAGGTTTAAAACAATTTTCAACATCTTACAGATTGTATGTTCCATGAAACATACTATTCAATAAATATTCAAACAAATTTACACACACAATTAAGAATTCAAACCTTAAATAGTTTAAATATAATAATTTACCTCCATTGTTGTAATCACTTACCTATGTAATTATTATTAAGAACAATAAAATGTAATATAAACGAATATGACATGGTTTTTATTTACCTACCTTCATTACTTTTTTTTATAAAAAGACTCGTTACTTATGTTAAGATGATATTATGTGGGTTTAAATGAATTCATTGGTACAAATATGAATTGATAGTATGAAATGTAATCAGTAAAAAAGTAAAAAAGTAGGGGAGTAAACGCGTAGTATTAAAGTATGATCACACTAGAAGTGCAAATGAGTCTTCGTAGAATACATCCCAGCCTCTAGAGTAACGTATAATATCCAATATCCATCAAATCGATAGCCGATGTATGCTCAGGTACCTGCACTTATAATAATTATGTAACCTTGACCCTGACTGATGACTCACAGCCGGGGTTTTTTTTTTTTTGGGTGGCTATTCATATTATTGTCGAACTAATATTTAAATCCCCCGCCTTTACAAAGTTATTCACTCCTAGTATTACGTGTATACTCTGTGCCGCTGTGGTGCTTTTTTTCTCAAATATATTCTCTATGATTCTGTGGTAACTGGTAAATATAACGAGTGTTATAATTATTTCAATTCCTTAATTAAATAATAAAGTCATCAGGTTATGGGCCCAGTAAAGCCCAAGTTGTAAAGATAAGTGGGTGCAAAGTTAATCATACGCATATCCCAGAGGCAGAAACAGCAAAAGAAGTGTGGGAAAACCTGTCCCACGCTTTCGACGACTCGGGGCTTACACGCAGAGTTGGCCTACTACGTGATCTCTGTTCAACTACACCCTCTAGTTGCAATACATATCAAAACCTTCTTCAAAATGGACACGCACCACCTATAGAGCAAATCAAAGTTGCTAATAACAGAACACTTTCAGTAAGTAGTTCTGGTGCCTTGAAGACATTGAATGGAGAAAATCATCACAATTTTATTTACAAATGTCTTGTACGTACCAGAACTTGCAGTGAATTTAATATCTGTACAGAAAATTTGTTTGTAACGGCTGTATTATACTGAACCAACAAAACGTTACTGTAGCAACAGCAACAAAAGTTATAGTTATAGCAATATGCATGCATGTCTGATGTTAAACAAGATGATATATTTTTATGGCACCAACGTAGGGGTCATCTGAAATTTGACACCCTGAAGAAATTGAAAGAATGTGCTGATGGATTAACATTATCTGATAACCAAATGAACAATGTAACTTGTATATCTTGTAAAGAGAGCAAGCAAACAAGATTACCTATCAAGATTGAAGGATCACATTCCTCATAGCTATTGAACCTGGTGCATTCTGACTTGTGTGGCCCCATGAAACACAGTCACTAGGAGCAGCTAAATACTTCTTAACAGTTTTGGACGATTATTCCAAAAAGGTATCTGTATATTTTGAACAACAAAACCGAGGTATTCTCAAAATTCAAAGAGTTCAAAACAGAAGCTGAAAATCAAACTGAATGTAAACTCAAATGTATTTGGACTGACAAAGGCCTAGAATATGTCAACAAACTATCCTCTGACTTCCTAATAAGTGCTGGAATAAGATATCAAACATCAACACCTTATACTCCTGAACAAAATGGAGCTGCAGAGAAGCTAAATTCTAAACTATAGTTGAAAGAGCAAAGTGTATGATCCTGAATGTAAAGAGAAACTATGCCACAAATTTTTTTTTTACTAAAAAATATTTTCTATGATTCTGTGGTACAACAAGTGTTATAATTATTTAAATTCCTTTATTTAGTAATAAAGTCATCACATATAGATGGCGAATTGTTCGATTGGGAAATACTTTTATTTATTTGGACGTAAACCTATTGAAGAAATAGAAGGATTTTTAAGGAGGAATTGTTACATGTGTAGTTAGAATAGGGTTAGGGTTAGGGTTAGGGTTGAAGGACTCCTTTCTCCGCAATTAGACTCGAGGTTGGTCCGTTGTGCGTACGAGTCCTGGCTAATTTAGCCAGCCTAGCTCCTTCCAGAAGCACAGAAGTCTCCTGGGCACTTCACAGGCTTCCCGGAGCGACCTCACCGTTCCGAGGATTTTTTCACGTTGATTAGCCACAGCCTCGCATTCCAGGACTACGTGGGTGACTGTTTCCTCTGCGTTGAAACAGCCTCTGCACAGGGGGCTGTCTGTCGCGCCTAGGATAAAAAGATGTTTATTTAGGAGGCAATGACCCGTTATTGTCCCTATCATTATTTTAAGGTTAGTTCTATTTAAGTTAAGTAGTCGCTTTGTCAGTTGCGGGTTTACTGCTGGCAAAGCCACTTTGGACTGTCTGCAGGCCGCACCATGCGACCATCGTTGTTGCTGGAGTTCAGCGGATCTCTGGCGAATCCAGGTTCGCACCAGCGAGAAGGGCAAAGGAAGGAGCGGATACGGGCCAGCCGGCATCATTCCGGAGCCTCTTCTCGCAAGCTCGTCCGCAGCATCATTGCCGAGAGATCCACTGTGTCCCTTTATCCACTGCAAGGTAACCCTATTGGTTCGGGTTATGTCCTCCAGTGCTTCATGACACTCCAGTATTAGTTTGCTGTTGGTTTGTTTGTTTCCGAGCGCCATCAGCACGGATGCACTGTCGGATACGAATTTAATGCCAAAGTCATTAATCCCTAGCCGCTGCACGGCTCTGGCTGCTTCGGTTAAGGCGACACATTCACATTGAAAGATCGTGCTCTGTGTGCCCAAGGGTAGGTGTATGTTGATGTTGAGATCAAGAGAGAATATGCCAGCGCCTGAGCCAGACCCTGTTTTGGATCCATCTGTATATATACGTAGCTCATTTACGGTCGACCGATCATGTTCCTCTTCTCTCAGTTGTATAAGATATTTCCTGTTAAATATTAATTGGTTAGTGATTCTATCACAGGGCGCAGCAATAAGAGGTTGATACTCTATTGCCCTGTTGAGAATCGCTGTGTGTGCACTGTAGTGATTTTTTCCCCATAGATCCAGTACCATAAGCCTGATAGCAGCCAGGGCTGCCTCCTGCTGTATGTGTAGGTCCAGGGGTAAGATCTGCAGGGCCATCTCCATTGCTGCAGTTGGTGTTGTTTTCATGCAACCGCTAGCAGCAGACAAAGCAAGCCTTTGGAAGCGTCCGAGTTTGGTAATTGCCGTTTGAAGTTCTGTTCTGGGCCACCAAACAAGGGCTCCATAGGCTAGCATTGGCCTAATTATGGCAGTGTATATCCATAATGTTATCTTAGGCGATAAGCCCCATTTCACGCCTAGCATCTTTTTGCATTGATAAAAGGCGATCGTTGCTTTGTTTAGTTTGTGTTCTAGATGTTTGTTCCAGAGCAGTTTACTGTCCAAAATCACACCTAGGTACTTGATTTCATACTTGAGTATGAGTTCAGTGTTGAAGAGTTTCGGAAGTTTGTACGGTCCAAGAACTCTTCGGTTGGTAAAAAGTATTAGTTCTGTTTTTGATGGGTTGACAGATAACTCGTGCTTATTGCACCATCTCTCAATCACTTTGAAAGCTCTTCTCATGAGGTCACATAAGGTGCTTTCAAAGTTCCCAGATATCAAGATAGCTATGTCATCAGCATATCCCACAGTGTAGAGATTGTCAGCGTTGAGTTCTGTGATTAGTTCATTAACCACAAGGTTCCACAGTAGCGGCGATAGAACACCTCCCTGCGGACATCCTCTGCTGACAATGCCTCGTGTTGTGGAGTTTACCGTGAACTGTATAGCCCGTTGTTTTAGCATGTTGTTTATCCATTCTATAAGGGTTGATGGTACTCCACATAACCTTAGTGCTCTGGTTATACTCGTGAAGTTCGTTTTGTCAAAAGCACCTTCGATGTCAATGAATGCACCCAGGGTTGACTGCTTTAACTTCAGGGAGTTGCCAATGCGAGACACGACGTTGTGGAGTGATGAGTCCGTTGATTTGCCCGAGCTATAGGCATGTTGATTAGGGTGTAGGAATTTGGATAGCGATACCCGGCTGCGTATCTCCAGGTCTCCTAGCCTCTCCATCGTTTTTAAGAAGAATGAAGTAAGGCTAATAGGCCTGAAGGACTTCGCTTGGGTATAGTCCTCTTTACCTGGTTTTGGGATGAATATGATTTTTACTTCTCTCCATTTCAAGGGTATGTATCGGTGGGCTATACAGGCTCGGAAGACAGAGACAAGATAGTCTACTATTAAGTTCCCACTCCATCTTAGTAGACCTGGGAAGATGCCGTCCAAACCGGCCGCTTTGAATGGAAGGAAGGAGTTGATTGCCCACGTTACTTTTTCATTAGTGATTATTTTGTGAGCTACTTGCCAGTCTGAGCTGTCGGTGGCTCTCTCTGAGTATGGTTGCCAGGCCTGTTCGTTGGCAATTATGCAACCCGGAAAGTGTGTTGCCAGTAGTAGTTCACATGTTTCCGAATCAGTTTTTGTAAATGAATTGTCAGGTTTTTTAAGACAACCGATCGAGTGATTGGGCTCTCTGGAGAGGCATGATTTCACCCTGGTTGCCTGGTTGTAGTTAGAATAGGGATACGGTTAAGGATTATATATCGGCAGTGTGTGCAGAGTACTGCTTGGTATATGTACTATAAGTGCAAGGGGATGAGATTAGAAGTTTTCCTTAGAAATTTTACATGTGACTCAGTGAATAATGATAATATGGTGCTAGTAAATTTGTATAGAAACATAATGGACATATAAATAAAAGAATAATTACTGGAATAAAAATGTTTTATTTAACTATGTAACCCTTACGTCTAATTATATTATAGGTAATGGTGCGTAACTATTGAGTTAGTACTTTATTAATTAGTTAACGGGTCGTTTTTGGCACTGGCAGTTATATTGTTTGTTTGGATATATTATGTATATTTATTTTTTGTTTAGACCCGTAGGTTATTAAGTTGGGAGGTTAGGTATAGTTTTTAATTTTCATTTAGACCCATAGGTTAGGTTAGTAAATGTAGCAAAGAAGACAACTAAACGGCTTAAATGGGAGTGAGAACCCCCACACCAAGCTTTCTTAAGAGCAAGTTAGGTTGGGGAACTTTGAAGTGAGCCAGAGCCGGGAATCCCTAATTCTAATGTTGTAGCCTTATAAACATGGAATTTTACAAGGTAACAAGCCGGGGTTTTAGTTTTTCTGTTTTGAAAGCTTTAATCAGTTGTTGGTGCAGGGAATATTCCCAATTAATTTATATTATAAATATCTCTATAGAATAGCTCCATGGCCAGCTTAATTAATATTCCCGTTAACTCTATTAATGAGATGACCTCAGAGGTTTCATTAAGTTGTCTCTACTTGCGGTTATTGCATGGTGTAGATATATTTACTTAGAATTTATTAAGGAAATTACTGTTTTATCATCATTAGTAAACACAAAAATTACTTATCTAGTTACCAATTTGGCATATTGCAAATTAGTTTTAAAAATAGCGCGATTTAGCTTTAAACTTTGATTAGGTATATGTAAAAGTATGAGATAATTTAGTCCTGGTAGTGTGCCTTGAGTACAAACTCTACTAAGCTAGCATAGTAATGCTTGCGAAACGCTCGAGCGTTATCAAAATACGATTAACACGCAGATAAAAGTGATAATGGACAATATTAAGCCCCAATGTAGCGCCTATTATAATAATGGGAAGTGAAAATTAATTTGGGAGAAAACGAGGAAAATTGACAACATTAATTGCAAAGCAAATAAAACGTTTTATTGTCGTGAATCGTTCTCAATAATCATTAAATAGCTTAAAAACGTACGCAATGTTTGGTCTGTGTCATATTAAAAAATATCGTTTATTAAACCGACACAATAAGCTATCTAAAATTAAAATCGCTATTCAAATTTGTTTTAATTAACAAATTGCAAGCAATTTACTGTCAATAGGGATTTATCGCAGTCTCATCTTGGAAACATTTCATCGCTGCTAGGCAATATTAAACTAGGTGATTTATGTCCGTGTTATGTAAACCCTGGTTCTGAAAACATATAGGTAGGTAAGGAAATGTAGTAAATAATTTAATAAAACTATAATATAAAGTTAATAGATACAAATTAAACTATTTTTTGAACTTTAACTAATTTTAGAGCATGTTACAAAAATATTAAAGGATTGATACTCGACGAATTAATTTCTTGCAAGCCGACAACGCAGTCGCGAACCCTCTGGCATTGAGTATTCATGGGCGGTATTATTTAACATCAAATGCTTGGTATATTAAAAAAAAAGATATAACCGGTGTATAATCGAATTTGAATTTATAGTCAAAATTACTATGAAACTAGCTGACCCGTGCCCACTGCGCTGGTTTTGAGACTTAAATAAACTTAGACATATTGCTATTTAATTTTTTGAAGGCGGCGTTCGTAAGACGCTTTCGTTCGACCACTTTTTCTCCGAATTACTTTGCAAAACCGATTACCACTAAAAGTATTTTCATCTGGTTAATATATAGCCCTCACAAATAACGCATTCTATTACAGTCAAACCTGGGTAAGTGGGAACTGGATAAGTGAGAAAACTCTATAAGTGAGAGTAATAACCGGTAACCGTCATTTTAAGCTCCCAAAACCTCTGTAAGAGAGAGTCGTTTTTCCCTCATGACCTCCGTAAGTGAGACTGCTACATATACCTCTATAAGCGACAGTCGGGCTTTATTTATTTATATTATGTACTTTAAATGCGTTGAAGACGGTCCCCATCCGTACTTTGAAAACGCGGCGCGGCGTTTGTTGATCAAGCAATATTCGACAAAATTTATGAGTTAGACAGAAACATTCAAAATACAAAAACAGAAACCCAAACGAAATTGACGGTTTTTTTAAGTGTAAATTAGTTCTAAATAAAATAAAATATATATGTACATAATATGTTGTGCACATTATGCACATAATTTTATCATATTACATATTTACTACATTCGTACTTGCTCCTCCTTACCTCTATAAGAGAGAAACGCTACCCATGTACCTGCATTAGCGAGAAACTCAGGTTAGTGAAAAACCTCTATAAGCGAGAATGAGATTGTGCTCCCTTGAACTCTCGCTTATCCAGGTTTGATAGTCAATAGTCGAATAATATGACCTTGACTCACATGGGTATTAAAAACCGAATCTATCCATTTCCGAGTAACTGAAACTGTTATTCGCTGAATAAACAGTACAAGACATGAACCAATCAGACTAATTGCCCCGTCGAGCGCCTTCTCACTCGTTTGAAGTCGAAAAGCAACATAGCGATTGAGTGTATTGAATTTTCAGTAGTGCAATGCAAGATTTTGATAGCTTTGACTTTCTATTGGTGGAGTGTAAAGTACACAATACCGTAATACATAGATAAACGTTCAAATTATAAAAGAATGACAGGTTTGGGAATGGGAATCAAACAAATGGGAATATTAACATGATAACAAAAAAATAAATATGCCTTTTTTTTCTTATCATATGACTGCTGTGTTGAGACTTTAAGGGCAAGATTCGGAATAGGTATAGCGCTAATTATGTATCCTTATATCAGAAACGTGTTTGATTTTGACCGACAAGACGTTCACGCTAAGTCTCACGACTACTTTAGGTAAAGTATTTAATGTACTTTTTGCTACAATTGATCTAATTTATGTTTTCCATTTTCTTATAAGGCGCTGAAATTTGGACTTTGCAAGCATCCGAAAGTCGCAGGCTGGAAGCGAAGACTTTTCTTCAGTTACCAAAAGATCCTGAGGGTCTTTGGTTCCCAACGCAGAGGTACCGATAACTTGCAGAAGTTTGTGAGTGGAAGGCCCGAGACCCGAGAGATTAACTTCAGATACTTACGGGAATCATCACAAAGGCGCTAAGGCATGCCAAAGACATGCGGAAATGGACGAAGCTATGCTACACCAACACGTCCAGTAACACCTACACCAAAACGATTCAGTAATGAAGAACGTGACTTCAGAGGATCTAATTTATGTCATCGTTATTGACACCGTCATTAGCGGATTTAGTGGGTACAATGCTCCACAGAATACTCAATCAGTTCCTGCGTTCCCTGTACTGTCAAAAGTCAAGATGGCGCCTCGTCCCTACTCGCGGCATTTGCTCTGCTGTGATTAGTCGTAACAATATTCGTACCTTTATTCGTTAAGAAATGATTCCAAACTGTGAAACAGTAAATAATAACAAAAAAAATCAAATCAAATTAAATTATGATTTTTAAAAGTTATAGAAGAAATTTCAATGATTAACCAAAGCAACAATTAAAAACGAAGGTCAAGTGACTCGATCGTAACATTTCCTGATAATCCTAACACCGACACATATAATTAGATTCAATTTGGCAATATTGAGCAACTATCAGTTAGTAAACTATTGTAATACGTTCAGTCGCGACATTCAATTAGCATTAGAACAAGATGGAATCGGTTTTGTTTGTGTGAGTGAGAAGGTATAGGAACTAATTCTGTTTGTGGCTTACATATATTCATTAATGATTCTGTCTTGTACACGACTATGTTATGATTAACCACAAGCAATAAAAAGTATTGATAAGCTACGGAACAGTGGTGTAGGCAAGTATCTGATTGGTTTATTTTTTATGTCAAATTGAAATTTTTTCGTTTGCAGTTTGGTTTAAGTCAAGAAATTTGTTTTGTTTTAAGAGAGAGTGCCTGAAAATGTTATCCGGATGAGATGATAATGTATGTCTTTCAAATATTGTTGCCCTGTTTGGTTAAAAATGTAGGGAATAATAAGAACACTGTAAACTTTTTATCACAGTTCTACGAATTTTTCAGTCAGTTAAAAATGTTCAGATTTTTTCATGGTTCACATGCATTACTTCCACGCGTAGATAGAGTAAGTGCCCCAAATAAAAACGTAAATAATAGTAAAATTAATTGTTAATGTCTTTAAAATTTTAAATATTATATAGGAAGGATTTTCTATATTTGATACTCGTATATTTATATCATTTTACATAAAATTTTGTGTTGCAACTGTATCTATTGACTAGAAAATCAAATTTTAACTACACTAACAACTAAATTAGAGCAGTGTTGGCCTAGTGGCTTCAGCGTGCGACTCTCATACCTGAGGTCGTAGGTTCGATCCCCGGCTGTGCACCAATGGACTTTCTTTCTAAGTGCGCATATACCACTTTTCCTACTGTTTTCCTTCATCATGAGAAAACCGACATGTCTTAGACTCAAAAAGTCGACGGCGTGTGTCAGGCACTGGAGGCTGATCACCTACTTGCCTATTAGATTTAAAAATGATCATGGAACAGATTCAGACCAAGACCTAAAGAGGTTATAGCGCCACTGATTTATTTTTAACAACTAAATTATAGATTATAAAACATAAATAAATAAATAAACCTTTGATTTTCTGTCTGCGTATCCACTGATATTCATAGCAGAAAACATATTGTATGTACAACAATTCACACTGTAGCATTTGATTGTGTATTCACGAATTTAAGTTTTGACCTTACTTTTGACGTCATTGCTTGTATTAACATAACATCTAACTATTAGCTTAACCATGTTTGTAAACAATTCTAAAATGATTGTATTTTTACGGATAAGTACAAGATGATTTATAGGGATATGAGAATAAATATTTTGAAGTTATACTTCTTTAGGCGCGTTATGAAAAATTGATGAGAGTGAAATTTTACGATGCGCGCGCACCGTGACACAAAATTAACAGAATGAAGTTGCCCACGGAAGATGCTACGGCATTGGACATAATTTAAAAACAACATTCGAATAATAATAGAATTTATGTTACACTTAATGTAAGAGAATAATAATAAATATTTATTTAAAATTCAAATGTAAACTGAACTTTATTGACTATAATGACTCCTTTTCCAGTCTTTGATTATTTAATTGTTATTAATTATTTGCATGCAATCAAAAACTATTTTTAATAATGCCAAAGAAGTATAACTTCTTACGCGCGTACATAAGTACACGCACCCTTTTTTTTAATTCTGTCTATATAGGAGTGAACAGTGTTGGCCTAGTGGCTTCAGCGAGCGACTCTCTTCCCTTCGTCGTAGGTTCGAATTCCGGCATTGAACCAATAGACTTTCTATCTACGAGCGAATTTACGGTCGTACGGTGAGGGAAAACATCGTGAGGAAATCGGCATGTCTTAGACCCAATAAGTGGACAGCGTGTGTCATATGGTCTGAATTTTAGTGTAATCTTGGAATTAAATGAACCAAAATAATAAATATAGCTAATAAAAAATATGAACAAGAATATTTTAGAAGATTTATCGGATTTTATTACACGAACTTACGTACGTACTACAATGTACAACTTGTTGGTTTTCTTATTTTAATATTGATACAGTCACTGAGTATTGGGGTTCAGTAAAACTTTAAATTGACCGCATGATGTCATCCGAGTCGCCTTGTCCGCATCGTGACAGTACTGTTAATATATTTTTATTTTGTACTCAATGTGTATTAATCCCTAATATTTTTATATCATACATACAGTCGCTAACATTTCATAATCAACATTGACAATGATGGCAGAAAAATTAAATCTATCAAAATACTTAAAATATATGAAACATTGTACACTTATTAATAAGAATTAAACAATTCTGCATTTACATTCTACTCTCAAATGTGCGTCGAACGAATCAAGTTCTGATTCGTCTTTTTTTCGCCTTGAGATTCTGTAACTCTGTAATTCTGATAAGGAGGGATCTAAGGGAGCTTGTAGTTTATTGTTTATCAGAATGCCAAATCATAAAATGACTGCTTCACGACTGTTTTGAACGCGACCGCCTCTGCGAAAACCGCTGTGAGAATTCGAAAAGTGAGTTACATAATCGCAAGGCTGGCATAAAACTTTCCGTTTTTTTTTCTAAATTTTGTCGTTTCTTGTTCTGTGTAACAATGCACAATGCACAGAACACTACAATCGCCCGTTACTTTACATTGTACAGAACCTTTCAATTAAGACATCACACATAACCGCATTATACAAGTAACGTATTGTTGTCCTGAGATGTATTACTCACTCTGTCCGGTGTTCTCATGCATGTCGTAAAATAACAAACGTCTGTCACGCCCTTATATTTTGTATTAAGTTTATTTTGAAATAGTATTAATAGTGTAATTAAATTAGCACTTACTTTTATTATACAATTTGGAATATTCAAAGTTTTATATTCATAGCATATCGGTCTTCTTGATATTGTATATATTATTTTCTAAAGTGTTGTACAGTAGACATAGATATTAATGGTTTTAAAAATAGAAGAGTGGAGTGTTAATGATGTGGTCAAGATACTACAAGGTTGTGATAAACATGAATTCATTGATTTTGTTAAGGAGAAGGAGGTGGATGGACGAAAATTATTGGTAAGGTTCTTTAATTTCTTACCTTTATATATTATTATGTATGCAGAATTATACGTATGGTTAAATAAATAAATGAATGTTAAACTCAATCGGATCTAAGAGAGATTTATTTTATTCACATGTGCTGTTTGGCTTCAGAATCAAATTAAATTAATATATTGGGTACTTATTAATCTTCAAATCTGACAATACAATAAATCGTGTCACTTTAATGTTAAAACTTTGACAGTTAAGTCGTAATTTGCAGGAAATTACAGAGGGAATGATAAAGTTATGGCGTCCGAAATCCAACGCTAAAGATTTCATATTATTTATCGAAAACATGAGAAATGATCCAAGTAAATATTTTAAATATTTAAGCGACGATATAGTCATTAAAGAGACGAATCTAACCGACAGTCAATATCAAACAGTGATTGTGAGGAAAATAAGTCAACAAGATGGAAATTTCAGCAGCGTTGAAGACATATTAAAGAAAATAGTCGCACCAAAGAGCTTTCTGTACAGGAACAAAAACAAAACGTCGTCCTACGTGCCGATGGACGGCGCGAAAAAACAAAAGAAGTTCTTTCGATTAAGTTCGTACGATTATCCGATATTCGATCTTAAGTCAAGGTTTTCGAAAGTTGACAACTGCGACAGAGGATATTACTCGATTAAAACGAAAGGCTTACAAAGGCCTAAAAAATCGGATACACGGACCAAGTATAAGTCTTTACCGACTCCAGAAATAAACGAGAATTACACAGAGGATCATTTATATGAAGATTTATGCTATCCTGATGTTGAAACTAAGAAAGAGGTTACGCAAAGCAAACCTATGAGTAAAATTCAAGAGTTATTCCAGTCCTTTAGGTTTCCTTTCTTTAAGAAATTAGATGAATCGGAAAGTAAGAAAGAAGCAAAGGAGGAGGTTGGTCACATTTATGAGAATAACGATAGCGTTGGTGAGATGTATGATTCAGTACATGTACAAAAAGAAGAGACGGGTGATGAACAGGTATAATTATTAAAATAATAAGCTTATAAACCTTAATTAATCAACGCTATATACATACATATATAGTTAAGTAATCACTACGCCCAAATTCCAAATCTGTCTCACTATTCCGACATATATGTTTGTTTAGGTGTTTTAGTTCCGAAACCATTAACACTTAGCCTTTTATAGAAAACATAGTTAATTAGTATTAAATATGAGTTGCGTCAGCTTGAATATTTTTATACGATATACAGGCTGTCTCAAGGTAATCTAGGGTTAATTTTCACATATATACGTTAAATATTATTAGCATTTAAGTCTATGTTACGACTATCCAACGATATATCAACATACCGCTTTGTTGGTGCATATTATTTATGATAACGACAACTTGTTTGACTGTTAGAGGTTACTTAAATCAAAAATCAAACTAAATATGTATTTGCCTTTCTCATTTTGAAAATGGAATACTTTAAGTCGTCGCCTAAAGTCGGCTCGTCGTTAAACACGTTTAAAGATGATTTAGTCCTGGGGGCCTATCATGAGCTCTTATTGCGAGCCAATTGACAACTTACAACTTAACGGCATCGTTTATTCATATTATGACGAATAAACTATCAAGTTAGGTTTCCACGTGACCTCAGCAGTAATCAGATTTCGTTCATTCAATTTGTATGAAAATTCCTACCATGACCTCGTGACGCAAGTAAATTGGACCTTTAAGCCGTAAATGCTGCCAGCATTAAAGGTACATTGCCACAGGGACCAAAATTTATATTTTATTTAAATATTCTATTTAACAATTTCCAATTATTATTCTTATTATTACTCTGTAGGATAAGAATATTGTAAATACTGTTTTCCTTAAACTATAATATTTTATTTTAATCCAGCGTCTTTAATCTGAAAATTTTCATGTTTTCCGGTTGACTGTGATTGATTTCCGGTAAAATAAAACAAATACTAAATAACTGTATACAATTTATCGGTAACTTCTTAATAAACCTAAACTTTCATAAGTTTTTATATTAAGGAATCACTTTGATATACATATTATAGCCATTAATTTTTGGAAAAAATGGGGGTATGCCCCATCATATTTACGTTAAATTATTTGTAAAACTAAAAGTTTTAAAAATTTCCAAGGTAGCTTCTATCAAAATTTGACAGAATTTTAAACATTTGAAAATGTAAGTCAACTAAGATAGCACCAAACAATTAATAGAATATGAAATAAAAAAATAATTCTAACAATTAATTTACTAACATAGAATCATTTGTCGACATCTGTGTACTGGACTGGCGGCCTTATCGCTTTCAAGCCATCTCTTCTAGGCAACCACTGTGAGAAAAAAAAATTGGATAAGGTAAACGCAAGAAGTGCAAAAATACATAAGACATATAGTTATTTAGACAAAACGAATGGGTAAAAACAAAGCAATTAATCATGTAAACAACATACTTCTTTTAAAAAAAAGGACACATGAATAAGAAAAAGTGCACACAGCACATGAATCACGATAATTTTAATCTTTCAGTATTAAGATAGAAACCACAAACAAAATTATCGTTCTTTCGTTAGGTCTTGCGATTCCTATACGTTTCAACTCATAAGAGGTCATGGTATGAAAAAATGAGATTCAATGCAGGCATTATCGGCATCTCGACCGGATCGTTTTAACAAAGCTAATGGTAGGCCCCCAGGATCACTGACATTGTCGAAATTTTTAAACTTTCTCTGTTATACAAATTATGAAAATATGGTCAGTTTGATTTGAGATTCATTTAAGGCCCTATCCCAGCACGAATTGCTGTGTCAGTGTCGCGGGGTGGACTGCGGTGCGCAGTAGACAGTAACAATTAGTTATGTAAAACTTTAAACTAATACAATTTTATAAAAAAAAAATTCTGAAAGGATTACTTGGCTTGCGATAAAATTTATCCTGTAAATTTCAAAATCATGTTCTATATACATTTTCGTCATAAAATAAATTTAAAGTGTCAAAAAATTGGCTTTGTTTGGATTTTTTTCTATCAAGTGAAGTTATCTAAATCGTGTATCGATCTTTCAAAATGGATACATAAACTACTCATCTCCACCATATATTTTTACCATTCTCCCTACTTTAAGAAACGATGACGAAACTTTTTTGGAGTTTGGCGACCAAATAGGTCCTTAAGTAAATACATCCACATATTAGTTTAATCCCGTACATTTGAAAGAATTTAATTAAGCGTAATATATCCTTTTGTTTAAGCAAAATAGATTGGATTAGGCGTCGCATGAGTTATGGTAAAGACAAAGTTAATTACTTACATCAAAGGATGAGTCAGGTTAAGGAGATTAAACAAGTTTAAATTGGCACCATTCTGTGGTTACATCTTGTTATTAATTTTGTATATAGTAACATTATGTGGGATTTAGAGAAATTGAAGCTTCTGATACGTTTATCTCATTCCAGTGGTTTAATAAGAATATGAAGTCAAGTAATTCAACTTCTTTTAAATTATATATAATATTATCTGTCAAATGAATGTACAATGTTTATAACTAAAGTTTGATAAATTTACCCAGTTCGCAATAAAAACGCAAACTTTCTCCATAATAAAAACTCTTGCCAAGTTACGCTCTTGTTTTGTTACTAATATCATTCAGGAGTGACTTAAACATCCTACCGAATATAGAAATAATGTCCAATATTTTTATTAATAATAATATAGTATATTCCATTAAGTATTATTCTGTCCACCAAATTCTATAATATTTCACTTAATTCTAGCAGAGGACCTTGGCAGTCGAGGACTACTTGGTACCGGTAAATATAGAGAAAGACTATTGCGATGTATGTCTGAAACAGAAGGAGGAATCTCTTCTTGGCTATATCATGAATTATTTCGAAACGCGATTTGGTAGACGAGGTGAGTTCATTTACATACACAATAATAGTTAAAATAAATTCGCAAGATTGTTTGGGCTTGTGATATTGGTTTTTTTACCACATTTCATATCTACATAGTATAGTTTAAATAATGATATTTATTGATTAATTCTCACTCAAATTAATTCATGTCACGATTTTTATTTTTTTTACTAACTTTATTATTTACATTTCTGTGTCATTTTCAACAGTCATGGTCAGAGTCTTGCAAAGCGTTATTTAAAGTGAAACCAAAGATATGTTTATGTACTATATGTTTTTGTGTTCGGTTAACTTTAAATATTATTAATTAAAACGGAATTATTTCATCACATAATACCTTCAGTTTAAAAGAAATACGCACTTTGATTGGGTTTTAAATAAAATCAAAAACTTAATATTTATTACATCTTAGAAGGTAACAAAAATGGCAAATCGCAGGAGTTCCTAACTAAGCTCCGCTTACCCGGCTGGAATACGTCAAGCACAGAAGCGAAAAACTACTTGCGCTGTAATATTCTAGTAGTAATTTTAAAAATAGTATGTACATTTTATAATAATGAAAATGAAGAATCACCGCGACATACCTAATATTTCCGAAATAGCTTTATCTGTTGTAAAATTTGTGATTTTATTCACCGGCAAGCGTAACAAGACTTTTATACTTCGATTATACTGAGTTTTAACTTCACAATTAGCTCAAAATAATTTTACAAGCGCGAGTGACGCCACGCATAATTAGTATGGCCCAAATCAAATCAGATCGATAAAGCGATGAAAGCTAATTATCGAAAAGTGGGAGAACGTCGAACATCGATAACGGGTAATCGCATTCAACATGATTTCGGAAACAGTTTAAAATGGGCGTTTTTACACCGTAGTGTAACGAGTCTTTGACAGCGTAACAAAGCGTTGTAACGCGACAGACTTGCGTTGGAGCAAACAATACCACACTACGATCAAGACACGTACACGCAACGTTAACAAAAGCGCGCAGCTAGGATTGCATTTAAAAAAAATAAAGATCGTGGCAATCGCTAGCTAGACGTCTGCGTGTATGATAGCCCTCCAGGTCATCTGGTCCTGGATCTCCATTAGCTTTTCTTGACCAATGTCATTAAGTTAAGCCTTAACTAGGCGAACATAAGGGTTGCGATGCCCCGCTTCCTTCCTACGGTTCAATGTTAGGTTAGGTTAGTATTTTATTAAGGACAATTGAGATTAATTATCAACACGCCCTTACAGGGTAAGATCTAGAGTCGAGGCTAGGTATGACTTCTGTATGCCAAAAACGTATTGGCTATAATGTATGGCCTAACGTAGCGCCGAGTCTCGTCTTAGAGTCTTATTCCGTATGTTTAATTCTTAATTCCGTGTGATGACCATGTTTTATACTTACTGAAATTAATCACAACAATAAATTGCTTTGACGAAATAAAATAATTATTTTCGTTCGGGTTTTTATTACTTTAAAATATGGCTAAAGTAATAGTAGCTATGTTTTATGTGCAACAAGTTTGTAATTTGTGGATATATAATTTGCATTAACCCCTAAACATAGTAAACAAAGTATTCTTAAAAAGTGTAACATTTTGGGTCCTATAGATCTCTAGATAGATCACTCACTACCGTACGTTGTCTCATAGTAAATTCATGACAGCGACAATGGTGTAACAGACGTCCACGTCGCAGTGAGCAATGAAATTAGCAAATCCAATAAGTTCCACGGCATTTCAGCTCACTCGGGTAGATTCCCGATCATTACTTATTCATAAAGATCTCAATGCCAATTTAATATATTTGAAGCAAGCAATTTATTTGGGGTTCATCAAAGTTACTACTTCCTATATAAAACCTAGGGATTTTGTACGGCATTTTTACTGTAGTATTATTACTTATTGCAACGTTCTTTTGATTACATGGAAGTAAATAAAATTAAACTTACACGTCGTTATACTTTACTCTTATATTTTTCGATATTTAAGGCTTTTTATGATGAAAACCAGCTTCATGAATAAATATGTGAGCACCATGTATCTACATAATCATTTAATTATCTGCTGCATTGTATTTTTTTGGTCTTGGTACATGGTCTTCACATATAATTATCAAATCAATGTATACAAAATATTGTTAAAACTATTTTAAAAGAGTAGTTATGGAGTTTCTTTCCCATTCTTCTTCCTTTTAGTAATTTTGACTTTCAAAAATGTCTTTTTAATAGGCCTAATTGAATAAAATGATTTCACTTTGACTTTGACATATAATATGTACTTTACAAAATTAGCCATAATGCAATCTATTCATTCACTATATTAAATCCGCTAGGATTGACGGCAACTTCACTCTTGCTCAGATTTTATATTAGATACTTATTGATTTGGTAAAAATTGTTTTGTATTTTGTTTGTGAAAATATAGCGAGGTTAAGGACGGGCAAAATCTACTTTTTTTTAAATATCCGGCAATGTAACATAAGTCCTCGTACACAAATAAAAAACGCCATAGATACGTGTTACTTTCTCAGGATTTCGTCTTTTTGTTCATATCGAGTCATATGGAGAACATCTGTATAGGGATGTGGGGCTCTATCGATTGTCGATGTCAATGCCAGTAGTGCAAACAGTCACATGTTTTAGAAATTTTTAAACCAACCAACCAAATTCATTTACACATCTGTGCTGTTTATACTGTATGATAATGTGTTGGAATGTCATCTCTTGTGTGAAAAATAAATTTCAACATTACACATATCGATATATAAGTACAGCACTAATAATTGACTTTATTCTTTTTAGTATTAAAAAATAGTGAGAAGATGCGTGACTCTCATTAAACGTATATCTTGCATACGCGGTACAACTTATTTAGTGTTTTAGTAGTCAGTTATATTTGAAAAGTGCTTCAATATTTAATGTGCGCCTAATGAAAATCCGTGAGATAAGATTAGAAAATACAGTGTGATTTGTAATCTATTGAATTACAAGAATGTGTGAGCAATTGGGCCTAAGAGTGACACGTGACTCATTGCGAATAATTAATATTAATTTGACATTTGACATCTTCATAATTTAGATTATTGTATGAAACGCGAGCAGAGTTAATAGCTTTTTATTTAATTTACATGCACAATGGGTGCAATTGTACGACTTCAAAATATATATTGAGAAATAGTTATCTGTAGACAATTATCTATTCTCTACGTTTTTTAATTTCCTTACAAAAGAGATCTTGCAATGCTGTCATGAAGACATTCAGCAATTGGTTACAAAGTAGCATATTTGACTTGAGCGGCGAGTAGTTCAGTGATTGCGATCGTAACCAAAATTTTGTTTATCTCATATGAGCTTAATTAATAGCTTAAAGGAACTAACTACCCTAGCTTCCTTCCTTTAATTATTTGATCATATACATGTAATTAGTGCATAGAAAATTCTACCTTAAAATTTCCTCGTCACATACTAGCCACCTTTTTCATACATTAGGCAAGTACGTAATCAGCCCTCTTCTGGCACACACCGTCAACAGGGTGTTGCATAGCCGGGGATTGAACCTACGACCTCAAGGATGAGATTCGAACGCTGAAGCCACTGCGCCAACACTGCTACCTGTTAACTGCTACTTCTAATTATCCTGTAATAGTTGTTATAATTTATTTAGCAATTAGCGTAATTGTACATTAATTGAAGAATGACAAAAATTACGAAGGGACATCAATTATAAAGCAATTGACCTTATTTGGTCAATTAAGAGATATATCGCAACGAGAGTAACACGCCACGATATGAGAGAACAATACTGGTACAACATTACTTTAAATCTTGTGCATCGCAAAATACGCCGAGATCAAAATATGTGTGTAAGCTTATTGATGAACCGCGGGTATAATAAACAAGAACGGGGCTTGCCAACCGTTTTAATTTTTCGTTGAAATGACAGTCCCCACACGTATTTATTTATATTTTACAAAGAGCAAATACATATTAATTAAGTTTGTATGCTGTTTTTTTGTATGTTTGTTGCTGGTGGAAGCAACGTAAAGATGAATTGGGCTCCGTTTTTGTTTTGGGTTTATGTATTGATTAATTTTAACCAAACAAATGATTTTTGTCTTTCTTGATAATTGCGTGATCAGTTTCTTAAATAATGTTATTTGTACGGGCAAAAGATAAGGCGTAAACGTATATGCTCCATGTATTGGCAAAATAATTACTGTAGTACATAGAACTATATTATTCGAAGAGTAATTATCGTAATTAGATCAATCGAATATTATGGTAATTGCTTTAATGACCGTCCACGATTGTGTAGTGCTTTATCAAAAGGTCTTGAGATTGCAGGTCAAATATTTCAGACTAAAGTATTCGCTTGCAGCTTAATTAAAAAAGGACATTAATATTTACTCCTGCATATCGTTATTTATTTATCAATACGGAAACACAACAGGCACATCACAAATACCAGATAGTAAGATGTAAAAAGAATATATTCTTTTTACACTTACACTTCTATAATTATAACTTTGAATTGTTTCACAGATAGGGTTTTGTTTTATAAAAGTATGAGTACCTACCACAACTAAAAATAAAAATAAATGAATAATAAACACGAAAATGTAACCACAGCAATTAATAGTACATACACAAAAGGCATACCATATACAACGATATTTAGGCGATAGAAACCAGTAGAGGTTCATGAAAACATATCAACTTATTACAAATATATTTAATGAAGCATACATTGTGCTGTGTAAACCTTTAGGCAAAACAATTAAAATATGTCAGCAAGTAGGTTAGGTACCTAGTATGTACGCACTATTTCATAGAATTTTCGTAATTAGGAAAATTGTAATAACTTTAAAATGTATACAATATGTCTCAGGCATATTTAAAGTACTCCCGTATGCTGTCTATGAACGTCCCTGAAGGATGTCACAGAACTAAGGCTCAATTTTCCATTTTACCTTTAAATTATAAACAGAGGGATTTTGACGTGAAGTCGAGGTTGACAGTACAGAAATGAAGTGTTAATCATGACTTAGTGCAATGTGTTGGTGGATGAAAGTTAGTGTACCTTTAGTGTATAACCTCGGTGTGAGGATAGGGGATATCATAGCTGACGTGTTTTATAACACTTTTCATTGCCTTAGTGATGTTATTGCAGGTGAGATTTGAGTTACGCGGGTTATGGGGTATGATTTCTTATAGTGCATATGTTATCAGGCAGACCATACAAATAAATATTTGGTTTTCTTTACGCAATATAGTTGCTACAAGATGTGTTTCGAAGAATACATTTGTTTAGAAATGTAATAGTAGTAGTATTAGTGTGATAGTATTGGCTATTTAAGTGTAAAACTATATTAATAAATATGACATCAATGAATGACATGACGCCACATAATATTTGTATAAAATAGAATGCGTCTAAAAGTATTTTATGATATATCTCTCTTATTAAACGATTCAATTTTGTAATAGAACTTCTATGAGAAATAAAAAAAAAATCTTTATTAAATCTCATATATTTGAATTTTAAAAGTAATTATAATTAGTTTACTTTAAGACCTCGATACTATCATACTCGTTTCAAAATATTCACATCAAATTAATTTCAGAAACGAACGAAGCGCAGTCTGACATTTCGGAAGTGGAGCCATCTTGTGACGATTCGAAATGGGAACGCAAGCCCAACATGGCGGCGCGGCCACTTCCGGTTCCAGTGGAAAATGAGCCGTTTTACATGAATATTGATAGGCAGGAGGCGGAGAATTTGTTGTTGGGACAGCCTGATGGGACCTTTATTTTAAGACCTTCCAGTCAGGTAGTACTTCATTAATTTTAAACTGCGTATAAAAAGTGACGCGAAAAGATTTTTCTGTATCGAAATTTTGTTTTTCTGGCATTTTAGCTAATCCTTACATTCCAGGAAAGAAATAATCATTCCTCACATAGTTTCAAAATATTGCATATTATTTCATCATATTCTGTCATATCCGAGTTAAGCCATTAAATTTTTAAGTCAGCCAATTGATTTATTATTTTATAACTACAATTCAATTTTCAGCCAAACCACGCATATACACTGAGCGTATCCTGCGCAAACGCAGTTCATAACGTTGGCGTACGTAGACGATCGGATGGGCGACTTGCTCTCGGCTTCGCAAGACGCGGCGAAAGGAGCTTTGCAACGGTGGCATCACTGTTGCAGCATCACAAAAAACGCCGTTTGTTACTTGTTGCCGGTGGCGACATGATAGGCGCAACTACACTTACAGAAACACCACAGTACTACCAGACACCTAAAAATATACCTATAGGTTGTAAAGAGATATTTTAAATAGGAAATCTGATATTATTTTAAAGATAACTATTAATTTTAGTTTATTATACAGTATGTATAAACAGCGAAAAACACTAGAAGAACACGGCTATCTGAAATCGTATTACATTCGGTGAAATAAGCGTAAAGCGCATATAAGATATTAGAAGAAACACACATAGATCTATAAATGTGAATAACAAATATCCGACAATTGTTATTGTTGTAAATAATCACGACATACTCACATTACGATCAGACAAATTACACTTAATGTTTAATTATTATATGTGTTTTGATCAATAAATTCAACCTACAATAGCTATTTATATTTATCGTAATAAATGCCGATATCTAGCATACAATTTCTCATTATAAATATAGAAATATATTTATTATGGAAAGCATACAATGAGATACAATTGCATGCAAAATATGAAAATACAACTCATTAAGCACATCTTAATCATTTAAATGAACCATCTCGTTACGAAAGTGTGTAGAAAATTGAAATTAGGCTTGCCGCATATGAAAATTACCCGGATCCCTAATGTGACCTAGAAGCTTTGTAAGCAGATAAAGGCTAAATTGTGGCGTTCATAAGCACCATTAAGTTCAGAAATTAAACAATTAAAGTTAGGTCTCAGTTAAGAGAGGAACTGGGCTAATTACTTGAGACGGTATGTTTTTAATTGGTCTGTTATATAAACGTTATCCAGAGATTGCTATAATTAAATTATGGCCATGAATAGCCGATTAAAATTAGAATTAATACGTGATAAAGCTTCGTCTAAATAGACTATGGCAACCGCTAAATTTTAGCTTCTTATTGTCCCAATTTAGGCAGTAGGAGACGTGGGCATTTATTTCCATTTTAAAAATGCTTGCTCATGTTCATCCATCAAGTGGGATGTCAGAAAAAGGCTTCGATGGATTTTAATGTTAGATAATAGGATGATGGATGCATTTCCGTTATGCGAGCTGTCTTCAATGGCTGATGTTGCAATATGGATATTTTTTAAAGAATGTTGTGTATTTTCAGGCTTATTTTGAAATCTTTTAGTATTGAAATAGAAATAGTAGAATGTCTCTCACAGAACTACGTAAAACGTAAGTAAGGAAATTCGTTGCTAGTACCATCAGCAGCAATTCGGTTCCAAAAAACCTTGGAAATTATTCTTAAAATTGCAAGACATATTTCAGCCCTATTCGGAATTTGAACCCTCATAATTAGTTTTTACCGAATACTTATATTAATATTATTATCTTCGGTCCAAAAACCAGCTATTCGTAGATTAATATCTAACTTATATCGTATAAAAATCGTACTACCTAAAAGCCTGCAATACTACAATTCTATACATACAATCTTATGATAATTGAGAGATCCTGAAAGGTTGCCCTATACTAGTGGGTTAGCAAACTCCACCTTAGTATTACTGATAGTTATTTGGCAAAAATTGTGAGCACATCTTTTCTCGTCTCGCAATATCTGATTTGATAGGAAATAGAGACATATTGAGAAATTATAATGAAATATAGAAATACGAAGTTCAATACAATAGGCGACAAATTTAAGTTGGTTTTAGTTCATAGATACCGCAACTCCAGACTCTAATATCTACGAGGAATTGTGGATCTACTATGAAGTTACCTTCGGTCAATAAAAGCTGGAAATTGGTGTGTTATTTATATCATAATGAAATCAGTAGTAAATAGTGAAAGAAGTAACAAGTAATGAATACAACTACCTACATGGATAGGTATGAGGCATACCCTTTTTCGATTTCAAGCGTTTTGCACCTGCACCTAAATTGGTGGAAGGTGGTAATCAACGCATGCCGAAGATATGCTTAGTGCACTTAAGTACTACAACTATATTTTCGTATTTTTATAGCCAATTGGCTGTACCGTATTTTCTGCATATGCTGAAGAAGGAATGGTGAAATAACAATTCGGAGGAGTTCTTAGGATTAATACCGGCAGCTGAGTTTCATTATCGTATATCCAGGCAGAATACGAAATTTCACCCGTATCACCTCGACGTCCGCTGTTTGTCAACTGATTTGGAACCAGCGGCCTCTAAAGTATTTCCGAACCTTCTTCTCGAAAAGAGTCGAATTCCTTTAAGAAAAGAGCGTACCAATTCTTAAAATGCCGTCAACGCACGCGAGCCCTCTGGCAATGAGAGTGTCCATGGGCGGCGGTATCACTTAACATCAGGTGAGCCTGTTGCCCGTTTGCGCCAAAAAAAAACTATGTCAAATTTATGTTGCCGTTGTGAGAAACCTTTTCTTTATATTCTTTATTTAAATGTCCATATCCTAAACTTTTGTTTTGTGCTTTTAATAGATTGGAGTCACCAATATTTATGTTTGGTTTTTCTTAAAAGGGTTTGTTTTGTATAGTTTGTTGCCGCGGTAAGTGAAGAATAACATGCGATAAAAGGTATAAGTGATTCATGTTCAATAAAAACATTTATATTCATTTACATTCATTCGTAACTTTAATAATTAAAATATTTTCGGTTGAGGCAGTGATAATAGCTGAACAGTGCAAATAAACTTCTGAAAGCTTACTATATAACTTCCTATATCCCGATCCCAATAATGAGTTTTTGTTCCACGCGATTCCGAGGATGCGACATCAGCACTACGGATGTTAAGAGAACGTCGGGTTCAGCATCGCTGTCTTTATTGGACGCAAAGGCCTGTATTCACTTTGATTAGTGCGAGTGCAAGTGATTAGTAATTGATGTTGATCAGTGCAGGTGTGTAGTGCAAGTAGTGTCCAATTCTTCTTTAGTGGCTCTGTTAAGTAAATTCATATGTCGATTGCTGTCGATCAGCAAGTTTGGATGAACATCGATAAGCACGAGCAATTGGAAGTACTGAAAGAAGTATTAAACGCGGTGCTATCCCGTGACCCATTCATAGCGCAAGCTTCCAACTCGATAAGAAATTGGCTGCTGAAGATACGACGGAATATTACTTGGCTCTCAGGTTGACCGGAGAGTCCTGCTGCCTGCTCTGCTGAGGGGGAAGGGAGGGCGCACGCGACGTCACTACTCGCAGTTCACTCGTAAAAAAATTGAACACGCTTCTAATCACTTTACTACGCAGCCAACTAATCACCTGCAGTAATCAGTTGCTATCCACACTTGTTTTCTCCTAATCACTTATCACCTGCACTAATCAAAGGGAATACAGGCCTTTAGAGTTAGGTCGCTATTCTTGCGCTAAAAATGTTCTGGTAAATGCCAATAATCAATTTAATACAAATAATTCACAAGAGTTGCAATATCCATTCTTTGCTATGAGAAGGTAGTGTAACGTTAGTTCCTACCTTATTTGAATTAAGAATAAAAAAATATAACTTGTTTTTCTATCGTAACGGTATTGTACGCAAAACGGCCCTCGTTATTTTACATGATTTAAGTAATTGTAAGTTTGCATTTCTTATTTATTATAACAATACAAATTACAGTAACACACCGCACCCCCAAATGGAAAAAACAATTCTATAGTTCTATAATGGTCCGCCATCATTTAATTGCACGCCTCGCAGTGCTCTACTCTCGACATGTCAAAAAGCCCAGTCTTTCGAAACTTGAATGACTTTTTTCTCACTAATATAACACTTACAGGATAATATGAGTGCACTAAAATCGAGTTAAATAATCTATCAAGCACATATGGTATTTTTTATGAACAATTATTTTGTTTAACATAGTAAATAATAACATTAAAATCAATCATTCTTGGACGTCCGTCAGTGTGTGTTTATGGATCCATGTATGTTGGAGAGAAATTGGTCGAAAAATTTATCGTACCAGAAATACTTTTTTTCTTATTATATAAAGTTATACCCTGGGCTGTTTCCTAGTTAATATTATTCGTAGCGTGAGACTTAAAGATAATAATTTATTTGTTATTTTGTTTTAAAAAACTTGAGTTTTTGTTTTAGATTTTTTTTTAAATGTGAATGACCGCTATGAGGCGTGCACTTTTGGATTTTCCAAACTGTTTATAAAGTATAAGCATTCCTCAGTAAATAATATTTTTTAAATTAACACTTGGACGCGTTAAGTAAACTGCTTGATCATTGAGCTCTAGCTGGTATATTATGTAATATCCCAAATTTATCTTCATAACGGTCAACATCCCGTTATCTCTCATTTTTACGTCACGCCTCCCTCCGGAGTTCCCGGGAACTCATAAAAACATTAGGGGGCTTTAGATAAGCTGTGAAGTATCGGTATTGGTGTCTGATTCTGCTGTCTGTGATATTTATATCATACAGTGGATATTAAGTGAATAGTTTGAACAATGAATGATCCATAGAAAACTGTCAAAGTACCTATAACTACGAATACAGCGTTACGTTTAAATTCAAAACAACTTATTCTAGCAGAAAAGTCTTCATAATATTAGAAGATACTTTCCTATATAGCCATCTAATTTGTTAGTTGTACATTTAAAAGTCTCTAATGGTCACGTTGTGATTAAGAGGACTACTATTTGTCTAACCCAGTAGGCCAGTCATTATAGACATTCGAAATCGAAAATTTGATAATAATTCCAAAAGTTTTCAAACTTCGGTCAAGTGAATGGTACATTGGGACGACAATAAATCTCATTTTGCAACCTTGTCCGCAGTCCGGAACATTGTTAAAATTGCAATTAAATTAATTTTATGTCTGTATGGTCGTGAAAAAAATTCCAAAAAGTTCTGCAAACTTGGGGAAGTTTTCGATATAATATTTCATATCACGTATAAAATTTGCAACCAACCTAAGTGTACGGAACATTTTTTGTTATTTATTTTATTTTCGATATATCTGTCAAATTTGCAGAACTTTTGGAACGTTTTCCTTCAGTTTAATAAAGAACAACATTAATTAAATAATGTTCCGTACACTTAAATTGGTTGCAAATTTGACACGTGATGTAAAATAATATATTTAACACCACTCCAACTTTGCAGAACTTTTGGAATTTTGGTCTCAAGAACTAAGC